ATATATATATATATATATACATACATACATACATACATACATACATACATACATACATACATATATATATATATATATATATATATATAGTATATATATATATATACTGTGCAGATTAGGTTGAAAGCAGATCAAGCAGATCATCTAGACAACAGTGCTCAATACATAAGCAGAGCAATATAAAATCAAAACAAGATGACGCTTGGTTACAAATTCAACATTTTATTGCACTACAGGCTGTTTCATGAGGTACTTCCTCAACCATAGCAGAAGCTAATGCTGCAAGTACCATCACAACCGAAGAAACTAAAATAGCAAGGAACCTTGATAAGCAGAACCACTCATTTATATGCTTCGACGTCACCGAATTCTATCCATCGATTTCACATAACCTACTTTCTAAAGCCCTCGAATTCGCCGAATCCTACGCAGAAATTACAGAAGAGGAAAGAAACATAATTGTACAATCCAAAAACACTCTACTATTCAGCAACCAAACAGCCTGGAAAAAACAAAACACCGAGACAAATTTCGACGTGACGATGGGTAGTTACGACGGAGCAGAGACATGTGAGCTAATCGACCTTTTCATACTGGCAAAATTAGAACCAAAATATGGAAATAAGATTGGCCTCTACAGAGACGACGGACTGGCAGCATTTGACGATACACGTACCCCAGCAAATCGAAAGAATAAAAAAGGACATATGTAATGTGTTTAGAGAGTACGATTTGAAAATAAAAATAGACGCGAACAAGAAAGTGATTAACTATCTTGACGTTACACTGAACCTAAGCGACGGAACCCACATACCCTACTTGAAGGAAAACAACAAGCCCCTGTACATACACTCAAAAAGTAACCACCCACCCTCCATTATAAAGAACATCCCGGAAGCCATAAATAGAAGACTCTCTAGCATTTCCTCTAACGAAACTGTATTCAACGACACCAAGGAACCTTACCAAGAAGCCCTAAAAGAAAGTGGATACGAGCACAAATTAACGTATGAACCCACAGCTAAAAGCACACAAAGAGACAACACAAGGAAACGAAAAAGGAACATCACCTGGTTCAACCCTCTATACAGCAATAACGTAAAGACAAGAATTGGACATGAATTTTTAGAAATTGTGGATGAATGCTTCCCACCCAACCATGCACATAAGGAAAATATTTAACCGAATCACTATCAAGATTACAGTTGTATGCCGAATATGGGTTCAATAATCTCTGCACACAACAAATCAGAACTTAATAATACCACAATCCGCACAGATAATGACGTCAAAGAATGCAATTGTCGCGACGTGTGCCCCCTATCCAACAAGTGCCTAACCAAAGGAGTTGTATATCAGGCCAGTCATACGCCAAGACAACAAAATAGAAACTTATGTCGGACTGACAGAAAACACTTTTAAGGGCAGATATAACGGACATAGTAGCTCATTCCGTAATGAAAAGTACAAAAACAGCACGACACTTAGCCAATACATTTGGAAACTTAAAGCCGATAACATAAAATATGAAATTAAGTGGAAAATATTAGGTAAATGCAAACCATACTCCAATATCAGTAAACGCTGTAATCTGTGTTTGCTCGAGAAATATTTCATTATATGTAACCCTGAATTAAGCTCTCAAACGTAGGAATGAATTGATTAGTGCATGTAGGCATAGAAGAAAATTTCTACTGCGGTACCAATATACATAGGCCTATACAATACAGAGCTTCTAATCACCTCTATGAATAATAATGAGTATACTAATTAACCGGTTTACCAATAAACTATATAACAATATAATCTATATAGCAATTAACAGTTCCACCATGCATGATTGTTATTCTGCAGTCTCATTCAGAGCCTAGCACCTGATGATCGAGGAAGTACCTCATGAAACAACCTGTAGTGCAATAAAATGTTGAATTTGTAACCAAGCGTCATCTTGTAATTGAGCAGTGTTTGGGCGATTTCATTATCCACAAAGGGTATATGAAAATGCACTTTTTTAAACGATCAATCATAATGAAACACTATTAAAAATACTGTACATCCTCAATTTATACATAATACTGTAGAAATAAGATATGTCCACATTTAATGAATTTATTAAAAATACTGTACATCCTCAATTTATACATAATACTGTAGAAATAAGATATGTCCACATTTAATGAATTTTAACAAGTCTTTGGTGCAGCAGGTACCATATTTCCTACACACCAATTCCCTGGGCCGGCTGTGAGCCCTGGCAGTTTTTGTTTTTGAAAGCCTTTGATAGAATTAAAAAATGACGGAAGATAATTTTATCCATTTAGATCAAATGTTTATATATACCTGATCACAAGAGAATTTGCTTTCTGTTGCCGCTTCAACCTAAGCGATCGGATTATAGTTTAGGCAAAGTTATGACGTTGTAAAGAAACGACTCCTCATAAGCTAGCTCAAACCCCACTGCAAACCCACTAATATCACCGACTGCCATAGAGTCTCCAGGAAATTTAGTTCATCTCCCGGGTTGGGCCAAAAATGCCCAGGCGAAATATTTCGAAAAAAAAAGGAAATTGTTTGCAATATCTACATTTCATAACCTTCTGTAAACCGTTTCAACCAAATTATCCGGCCTCTAGTTTTTGAGTTACGTTTTTTGTTGTAAAAACAGTCGATTATTATTTTTCTTTTAATCTTTGCATCTGATATTGTTATTATTTGTTTTTATGTTGATAGAATTCATGAATAAAGAAAGAATTGATTGACATTTTACTCCAAAGTTATATTAAAACACAATCATTAACACATAGGCCCTACGTTTGCCTGGTCATAGTACCGCCTTGCTCTTCTGCAGGCCTATACCACTGTTTACAATGCATTATGACGGTTTAGCTGTAAATAGCTATACGTCACTATATAGACAGTAAGTAAACAGTAACCATAGAGGAAGAAAATGGCGGGGGGGGGGGAAGGGCTTGCTACTGTTCAGACAGTAACCTACAGTTGCTTAACAGTTACCTAACTCTACTCTTTCTAAATGTTAAAATAGTAATTATCATAGGAATGTGGAGTATTGTATATACAGAGAGGAGCAGTAATACTTACTTATAACCTAAATCGATTGCAGTAAATGACCTACCGGTATCATTTTAAAGCTTATAATGTGGAGAATATGACCAGGGATTTGTATAACATCTGCCTGATACTGATATGACTAACCCTAACCCTAACCTATTAAAAAGTCAACTTTATTATTCGGTCAATGATGCTAGTTTTGGCACTGCAAGCCCCCATATTTTATCACATTACCACAGTGTTAACAAATGTTAACAACCGTAGTAAATAGTTAATCACCGCATTTAACTGCAAATATATAAATATATACTGTATTTCAAAACAACCGCCTAATTAAATAAAAATCGATTGGAGAAAGATAGGTAACGTTCGTTACACGCATTGTTAAAGTAGGCTAAGAATTTCATAGCATGCCTAAACAAAAATCAAAGTGTCAATAATTTTACTATCCTTTCTAAAAAGAAAAAAAACACTGATCAATAAACAGGGGCGGATTTAGTGAGGGGAGGATGCACGGGAGCACGCACCCCTGTTTTGCCGCTAAATTTAAAAATGTTGTTTGTTATGGCTTAATGTGTAGATATTAACAATAACATACAGTTGCGCACTTTATATTAGTAATTAAAAAATTCACCGGTTAGGTAATAATATTATATCTTTAGAGATTACGATATAATTAAATGCCATACTTATACCTATAAATATTCGAATAGTGTCATCCGACTTGCTTATACTGCTACTGCAGAACTGTTTGATCCATAAGCCAAGCACGAATTAACTTACTGCTTTCGTCCATATTTAGTAAATGGAGCCTCCTGGTGCAATGGAGATAATGGCTTCTGAATTGTATTCATGGTGTGGCCTAGGGTAAAGTTTACTTGTCCGACAAAGTAAAGTACTTGTCCGACAAAGACAAAGGCATAGTTCATTGTATTTGCTCTGAGACCATGACCATGAACGTAATTTAACAATGGAATTTCTCTATAGTCGTCTACAGTCTATGGAGAGCGTTATCTCTCGGTATTCGGTTCAATTGATCTGCAGTTCAATTAAAAACAAGCAAATCTTTATTTTCATTAAAATCGTTTTTCAACCCTAACATCTCACTTGTACCTGTGAACTTATGAAATACCGTATTGCCGATATTCTTAGTAAAATTCACACCAAATTCTGCAGATACATATTTAGGTCTTTGGTAGAAATGCCATCAAAATTGGATAACTGCCAAACACGGTAGACTCCTCGTACACATCAACTGCTTAGTTAACGTCCTTCGGTTTTGGCTGCACATTAGTTCAGTTGACCAAAGCAAACACACTTATTCAAATGTTATGCGTTTTAGTTCAGAAAAATCTTAAGAAATTACATGCGTTGGACCATGAAAGGATTTACTTTGTTTTTATGGTTGTGGCAATGTTTGGTTTCTACAATTTGTTGACGACAAATTCAGATTCTTAAATGATTTTAAGTTAAACAGTTACGATATTGACATGTTAAAGAAAGTGAACGCATTCTAAGTTGACATATTATCGTTTATTCAAACACGACTTTAAATATAAAATAATATTTTTAAAAAAAAATGACTTGGTGTACTGGCATGAGAAATTGAAACCGGGCGGTGGAATAGTCCCGCAACAGGAACGCACATGCAAAATCTGCAACAAAAATGTAATTGAAGGCGACTTCAATTTTTTTTTTGAATGTCCATTATACTCAGAACTCGGGAAAAAGTACATCCCACACTTTTCTTATCAACACGTCTATTAATAAATTGTGTTTACTCATGTCAATAACCAAATTTATGTTTTTTTAGTTTCAAAGAAAGAGAATATTTCTGGATGCACCGAGCTCTATATCTGCAAAAGAGCCAGATGCCTACTACCGGTATTTCATGAATAGACTCCTCGTCTAGGTTTTGAAAGATTGGTCAAAACTTGCATGGTGGAGACAAACTCCTTGTTTGTAAATTAATCTATATATGGTAAAATTTTTGAAATCGTTGACAAATGCCTGTAAGTTTTGAACTAAACACGATGGCTAGTTTTAAATTTTTATTTACTGGTGATTAGACTGCTGTTTAATTGAATTACCATAATAACGTTTAATGGGTCATAGGCCATGTTCTGCTGAATAACGCCAAAAACACGTGTTTTTATAAACGGTTAAATTCCTTCTGAACGCGTTTCTAGTGAAAAGTGCAACTAATAAAAACACGGTAATGCGAGCATTGGCATGTGGGCGGAGCCTAAATGACCGTCACTAACGGAAGTTGAAGCTGACCTTACCTTGCGAGCTACAGCGCATGCTGCGAAAGAAGTAATCAACACACCACGAAAGGTTTTGAAAGATTGGTCAAAACTTGCAATTGTGGCGACAAACTCGTTGTTTGTAAATTAATCTATATACGGTAAACTTTTTGAAATCGTTGACAAATGCTTGTAAGTTTTGAACTAAACACGATGGATAGTTTTAAATTTTTATTTACTGGTGATTAGACTGCTGTTTAATTGAATTACCATAATAACGTTTAATGGGTCATAGGCCATGTTCTGCTGAATAACGCCAAAAACACGTGTTTTTATAAACGGTTAAATTCCTTCTGAACGCGTTTCTAGTGAAAAGTGCTAACTAATAAAAACACGGTAATGCGAGCATTGGCATGTGGGCGGAGTCTAAATGACCGTCACTAACGGAAGTTGAAGCTGACCTTACCTTGCGAGCTACAGTGCATTCAGTGAAAGAAGTAATCAAAACACCACGAAAGTATGAAAAAAGTACGGTATGATCTTCAAGCATGTCATCCTATTATTTTAATTTTTTTCTTCGCTCGAATTTCCCGCGGATGAGCGATAAAACCAACGAAGAGGTCAATTTGGGTCACCGATGGGTCATAACTAACACGGTATTGCGTTGCAGCTGAAAAGTATACCACAAAACACGCGTTTTCTGAACGCGAACCTTGTAACGAATGCATGTAAAAAAACACGCATTTTTAGAACGCATTCCTAACCGTGTTTTTGTTTTGTGGCCCGTTTCTACTGGCGGAAAAACACGTTTTTTAATAACCGTTTAAAAACACGTGTTTTTTTGCTCAGCAGAAACAGGCCCATATACCCGTTAAGGAGCGTAAATTTCGATTTTGGCCAGAGGGGTGATGTCTCCTGCTTCCACTCGTCTTATTCTAGCGAAACTGTCGTCTGTATACGGGGTGTCTATAAAACGAAGACCTCGGGAATTTCTCTATATTCATCATATTATTCCCATATAAATGATGAAAGAGGTATTTGGCAATGGCTTTATGAAGATTTCGAAATATTTTTAAAAAGATAACAGAGAACACAATTGGAGGTCTTTTTAGTCTTCGGCCTTCGTCTTGTAAACACCCATAGAGAGTGTATAAAATATGAAGATAATTTCACAACAGACGTCCAAGTAATCTCGCAATTTGGAATTTTTTTTTATTAATAAAATAAAAGGGAAAAGTATTTTGGGTCTTCGGTTTTCGTTTTATAGACACCCTGTTTAGTCTAAAGCTCTGTCCACTATCAAATGTTTATTGACAAACAATATTGTGTGTCCATATATATCCATGGTGTGCCTATATATGGTCATGATGTGATGTCATCACGACCATTATATAGGAATGCCATGTTTTTGTCAAATAAAATTTGATAATTTGAACAGGGCTTTTTTATAAACTTGTAAGTAATGGGATTGCCACTTTTAGTGCCTAAAGCTGAATAAATAATAAATAATAGTAAATTATTTTGTAAAAAAAAATCGAAATTGCCCTGATTGACCTCAGACCCCATTTTCAAATCTCAGTCATTATATGTAATATATGGTTGGTTTTTTTGTCCGTAATAATGTCACCATCGTCATCAGCTTTTGTCGGTCCACTGCTGGACGAAAGCCTCAGCATGTAGACGCCAAATCGTTCTATTTCATTATTTTAAAAAAGATTTTCTAATAATGTCGAGTAAATAACACATTGTTTCGTGATTGCTATGTCTCATGAATTGTATGTCAACGGTTTTTGCGCATGTTAAAACTTACGGTAATGATATTTTCCGTTCTTTACATTTGGTGCAATTGATTTATTGCTTGTTTCTGGTAGATGAGAAAACGAGGGCATGTATACAAACTAGCCTATATAATTCAGTTTTTTTTTAAAAGACTGCACATTTATATGAAAGCTTTGACCTACAGTTTAAATTATGCAGTTGTTATAAAACTAACAGCTGAAATTACTAGAAACGTAGGCCTATGTCCTAACTTTCTATGATAAGTTTCTTTTTTTTTAATTGTTGATAAACTAATAC